AGGTGGCCGGGGCGGGAGGGGCAGGGCGGGGAGGGGAGCCCCCACCGGGCTCCTCTTCTTGTCTCCCAGCCTCGAGACCCAGAGGGCGGAGGGAGATGCTCGGGCCTCCTCACCTCCCCCTTCACGCTGCCATCCGCCCCCATTCATGCGTCCATCCGTTCATTCATACCTTTCGCCTTCATTCAACATTTCTGCCTCCGGCCATTCCCCACGCACGCATTCAGAGCGCACCTACTGTGTGCCGGCGGCCCTGCCTGGGCAGCTTGGGAGAGTCACAGTGCAGAAGGATCCCCAGCTCCACCTCTCCTGGCTGCCTCGCCTAGCTGAGGAGGAGGTGGCACAGGTGGGTCACAGGGTGAGCAGGACGCCTGCACCGCCCCCAGCCAAGCCCTGGCTGCGGTGGGAGCTGCTAGCTCCCAGCGATGCAAGAGGCCCTGGGCCCATCTCCCAGCCCCCCTTCTATCTGACCCCCAATCCTTTCTGTTCACACCTACGTTCCTCCTCCCAAGACAGAGATGGGAGGTGGAGGCAGAAAGTGGGGAGTCAGAGGGGCTGGTTGTGTCAACAAACATTTGCTAAGCAGCGTGCCAGGCAATGGGCTTCAATAATTCAGCTGCCATTGATCTAGCCCTGGCCACGCATGATCTCATGTGATCCATCCAGCGAGGCAGTTGTTACTGTCCCATTTCACAGGTGAGAACACGGCGCTGACACGGTCAGCCCAGGCCACACAGCAGAGGCGCAGTGAGAGACAAGCTTCTCTCCAGGTCTGCCCTCCTCACCACACAGGGCGCCGGGCTGGCTGGAGGCGGGCGGACTCGCAGCCTGGCGAGTCCCCTATGGCGTGAAGAGAGCTGTCAGGAGGCCCAGGGGGCTGCGGCACAGAGGACAGATGGACCCAGCCAGGGCGTCAGGACAGGTGTCCTAGAGCAGGAACCTGTGCCCACAGACCGGAGGAATGAGAAGGTGGCCCTGAAGGGGATTGTGGTAGCAGCAGAGAGAATTCGAGTTCTCGGTGTCAGGTCAGGCCTCCCAGGAAACACAGGTAGCTGAAGGGCGACCTCCAGGGCATCAGGCAGTCACCTTGGC